GTGTGTGTGCGTGTGCGTGTGCGGGTGGGTGGGTGTGGGTATGCGTCTGAGTGTGTCATTATGGGATGGTGGCACAAATCTGACCTCTGGCATGCGGCAGTCATGCTGTGAGTTTCCACAAACTGCCAGATTACATAAGATACTGTCGCTCAAGACAAATGACCATTACTCAGTATTGATATTTATACTTCCTGTTTTTTTTTATGTAATGTAAAAGTTGAGTTAAAAATAAACAAGTAACTGCTGTGCCCCTGTCTAAACATTTGTTAATCCACAGCAAAGGGGTCAGGACAAGGGCTGATTACTGGCCAGTGGATCTTTTTTAGCCTGTGGCAGAGAGGCACGGAGGTAAGTTCAGCTACAGCTCACCACCCTCTCTGCTGCATTCAGGTCATGGGGATCAGGTGTGTAAAGTCAGTGGAAAGAACGGTGGAGGGGGGTTTAAGATCTGCAAAAAACAAAACACTGATTAAATATTGTTCCACTCCATCAGATCAGAGCAGCATAGAGCTGCTGGGTGGCAGCTCCTTTGAGGCTGTTGGGCGCTGTGACACCAATGATTTGAAGTGATGGGAAAAAATTTCAATGCGTGATATGATTGAAAATTGCTTCTCAAAATAGAGTAAATCTGGAACAAATTATTCAATTACATCAAATTAGTTTAAAGCAAACTGATTATAGTTACTGTAGCATGCTAAATAAAGCAACTATAAAAACTCTCAATGATTAAAATAATTATCATGTGGACTATTTGACTGATCTGACTGAACTCCCATTGTCCTAAGCAGCTAAAATGATAGTTGTTGAAGCAAAATGTACAAAGGTGTTTTAGCAAGGAATTCTGGTTAAATAACAGGAATAACAATGTTAAAAGGTTCTATGCTTTAGTATGACATACTATAGCATAAATGTGTTTACACAGTGGCAGATCATGCACTGATATTGCCTGCAAATACAACCAGTCCAGGAACTAGAACATGGTAACTCAATATCATTGTTATGCAACTGTACTGAAATATTATAATCGTATTGTTGAATCCTGCCTCCTTTGCCTCATTATTTTAGTCAGTGGGAAGCCCATTGTCAGGTGACCAGCACCTTTGTACTTAGTTGTTTTTTAATTTTTTGGGGGGGGTTCTCAGTTAATAATCATGATTATTGATATATGGTTTAAATAGATGAGCCCTCTCCTCTTCAAACAGCACTTCTCTGTAGTATTTCCTCTTCAGAAGATGATTAATTAATCCATTAATAGTGAAATCCCTGCACAATTGTGATGTGGACAGACACACACACACACACACACACACACACACACACACACACTTCTCCTACTCCTCCTACAACTAACATTAAGGTTCTTGTAGTCAACTGACTTTATCTCGAACAGCAGCAACTTCACACTGTGATCAGTATGACTGGGTAAATGTATGCATAAACCTAATTTCTGTTAGTATACTGACAAGGCGCTCCTGTAAATCAAACAAGGCGTCTGTGTCAACTTGGCTGCTCAAATATTAATAAGGTTTAGATGTCACCACATTTAAGAAGGTCACACACATTTTTAACAACTCATGGTGAAGATTGAAAGTGCTATAGAAAAGACAGAAAAGTGACCTCTGTTGGTATGTACCTGCTACTACATTAGTCAAAGTGAAGAGTGAGCTGGCTCAGTGTAATACTCTCTCTCTCTCTCTCTCTCTCTCACGCACACACACACACAACCCAAGCATTCATGATAGATGAGCCCCTCCTGAATAAGTCTTTGTCCTAGATAGTGATCATGGGACATGTTGTCAAATAAAGCACCTATAAAGATATTGCATCAATGTGAGTCAGATGACCTGAATTCAGTGTATCAGTGTTCTGTGGTTACTATTCTAGTGATAAAACAATATACAATGACTTTGTCTGCTTGTGTAAGTTGTTTAACATCAAGTGAACATGTATATATATATATAGTGTATCAGTAACTAACAGACAAAAACTCTTATTTTAATGCAATAACCAAAGTAATCCCTGCAAACAGTGTCTAGTGTACAGTCAAAAAACTAACAAAAAACACTTTAACCACTATGACAAGTAATTAAAATGATTCTTTGCAGTCAGCCTTACTCACTAGTGGTCAGCCGTACACCCGGGATCACCCATGACTGCAGTTAGCAAGCTTTGTAGGATTTGCTGATCCTGTTTAATTGCTGCGTGCTCCAATAACTTTGCTTTATAATGAGACTCTGTGCGAGATATAACAACTGGGTGAGCACAGATTGGCACCTGTGTTCTTCCTTCGAAGGTATTTTGCATTCATAAGCCAAAGCTTAGAAAACAGTTTAGCTTCACTAGCAGCCAGTGACTTCCCATAATGAAGGACAGCTAATCAATCTCGTATTGAGCTTTTGACAATCAAGGCACGGGATAATCACAATGGAATTAAATGACAAAATCACTGTTGTCTGGCAGCCACATGAAGAAAGGCTTAATAGGTCTTTCTTTAGAGTGCAGTTTAAGTTCTGTGATTAATTTAGTCACACTGAGACTCCTCACATAGGGTGAGGTGATTGGCATTTATTGATAAACAGCATTATACTGCCACTGTCAATTACAACAAAGTGTTATTTAGCTCATCGTTCTCAGGTTTAACTGATTTAAACTGTTCCTGCAGGGGCGAAATATGAAGGAGAATAGATTTGCTGAAGGCCAACAAGTTCTTCCTTGGCTGGTGGTGGCTCTCCGTGATGAAATGTCAATATCGCCTATTCACTAGCTCAGGATGTTGTTCAGAAATCAGCAACAGTGAGTCACTGAAACAGTAGGCCATATCATAACCTTTGAAGCCTAAATATGGAGTCTTTTGATCCTGGCCATCAATTTTGGAGCCACTTCCTCCAGTCCAATCAGTGTGATGTCACAGGCTTTCTGTGTCTTGCTTTGAGAGTGTGATGAAAGTAAGCTTGTGAAAGGTTAGTGACTGAAAATGAAAGTGTCAGGCCAACAGTATCATTATGGTGTAACTCCATGGGCTTGTTTACAGTAAAGCGATTTTCCAGGCAGCGATTGGGCCTACTTCTGCAGATCAATTGATTAGACAAAACAGGAGCTATGATTTGAATAAAAAACACTACACTACATTTTGTGATTGAGAGTGTGTGAAAAGTATTTAGCATTGGCAAGCAGAAGAAAAAGTCTAAATAGTTAACTGAAAGTAATGGATATACAATTTATAGCTAAAAATAATGGATTAATGGTCAAATAGTTAGCTAAAAGTACCCTGATGGATCAACAGTTATTGATAAATATTTGATGTAGAAATAAGCAGATAGGCTATATGGTAGATGACCAGCAAGTGGTGGTAGTGTGAATGCAAACCTGACCAAACGGACATAAAAAATGGGCAGTTTGCTGATATTCAAACTCAACATCCATGTTGTGGAATCTCCCTGCCCCCTCCCATTCCATGTCCTGTGCAGGCCCCCTGTTGCTGATTGGCTGGAACAGTGTTGTGTGGCTCGGTGCAAACCACTTTGTTTGTTTCCAGTTTACAGAGCCTGTGTAGCCTACAAACACCGGATTTTTTTCAGCACACACACAGAACGGACAGTAAGCAGACTCTGAGGAGATATTTGGTGAATTTGATCAAAAGTGTATTTAGTTAGAATCACTGACTGCACCTTTAAAGTGTATGAAGATATACTGTAGCTGTAACAAAATCCATTCAAAATCAATTTGACTGAACGCATGACAGGCGGTATTGATGATGAGGTACTTTGGGTAATCTGATAGGGCTGTATGAGTATATCAGACAAACAGGTTGGGAACCACTGGAGCAGGTTGTTATTATATATTTGTTGAATATGTCTTAGGACTGTGTTTATGGAGAACCACTGAAACACATCCCACAATCACACACTCACAAACACACTCTCAGTCTCTGCATTCGTTGGGTGCAAACAATGATGCTACCCATTCATTCCTCCATCCAATCGGAGGAGTTTACATTCTCATCAATTCCCATGACAGCTCTGCTCAGACTGGTATTCATGCATTCCTGGCAACATAACCGTTGCAGCCAAGACAATACCTAAAGACCACAAAAAGATATGTGGTGCTTCTATGAAATTCTTCGCCCATTGTTTGGTGTAAGAAAAACACAGTGGGGCCATATATCCTTGACAACACAAGGTCATTTTGAGACTAAATGTAGACCCATGTCAATCTGGCTGGATTTTAATTAGCCATGAAACTGCTGGTACAAGTGAAATCGCCATGTGTGTTTATGCATGCAAAAGCAAAAAGGGAATGACATTGGTTGACTTTGTCATTAGTTGCTTCTCCATCCCTCTGTTTGAGATTGCTATGAGAATACACTGCCCATTGTAATTACTCCGCACTTGCTGTCTCAGGATACCACGGACTAATTTCATTAACCAAAATTTTGCATCATAATGAACAAATAAAGGCCATCGATTATTGGATTCATTTGAAGCTTAAAAAAAAACAACACTGGTGTTTGGGATTAGATGTGGTCCATTTTGCCAGGTCAACCGATGAGGTCCTCTTGAATGTCAGCCTGGGTTTTCCTTTAATAGGATCAATGTGTAAATTTGATGTAGGACGCACAAGGTGAAGTATGATTAACAATCCAGCTGGCAAAGATTTTAACGAAATATTACGTTAATGAATTAAGGCCTCAAGTTGAGCATGAAAAAGGCTTATAAAGTGTATTTAGTGTTGTGATTAATAAAATCACCTCCCAGTGGAGGATAGGTTTGGCAAAAAAAAATTGATTTTCTAGTGGTGATCAATGAAATATGAAATTATTCATTACAGTCTGGTTGAGCAAACAATTTCACCACAAGGTCCATTTAGTGACTGTTCTGGATTCTGGATCATCATC